TGTAAACATAATCCTACAGAATAAAGACCAAACGCCATGCTGCTTGGCCATTTGCTAATCGGTATACTAAATAAATGTAATTTTTAACAAATGGTAAAGAAAAAACACGTAGAGTCTACATCTACGTCGTTTTTAGAATTTGCTGTGTTTCCAAGTCTATAATATGTTTATAAGCTTGGCGGCCCGTCAGGCTGGTAGTACACTAGGGGAAACCATGAGCAGTGATTTTATTCCAAAGTATATTGTTTTATAAATACTGAAAATATACATATTTCAGAGGAATTAAAGTACTGAAAAAAAACATATATATAAAAGATAAAGCTCACATATTTTAAATGAATAGAGTTGTAAACTTGTTACTTAACAAAGTGCACTTTTAACTTTTACAATAGCACATTTTTGTTAACTGTAAGAATTCCTGGTTTTGAACTGGATTTATAACATTTTAGTTAATTGTGTGTTAAACATCATGACATGCATTTTTCCATGTCTTTGTTGTTGTTTTTATTTAATTTCTAAAACCTCTTTTAGTGATCTAAATCATGTGACCCGAGTCCCTCCATGAGAGTAGCGGTGGTGTAGCTGCACCTAAATATGGAACCTAAATACACTAAAGCGAAGTCGTTTTTCTGCTGAATTAACCGTCTCTCAAGTGGCCGGGAGTGAATGTTCGGGTCTGGATGCCTGATGGATGGTTTAGGTGAGCTTTTTCTCACATTAAGCGATTGACTCAGCTGGCTCTGTTTTTTTAATTATCACTGCAACCCTGCAGAACTGTTTAGCAGACTATCCTGCTCCAGTCCTCTGTTCGGTGCGATGAAACTGGCGGCCCCACTCTGTGTTTCTTACTCGTTCTCTAAAATCTCTCACCAAAGGCAGCGAAGGCTGCTGAGGCCCTCTGGGCTTTGTCAGCCAGTTACTGGCTCCCACGTTACACACAGTCGACTGTTTTTCCCCTGCTAAAGCCCCGTGGGCAGAGATGCTAATTTGAACAGTTTCTGGATGAGACAGCGCTGTGAGAATTGAAACTATCCATCCACAGAGAAAGACTTCCCTCCATGCTGTAATGCGCCTCCATCGTAAGCACGTGTGAGAGCTTGTTTTAGACACTTAAATTAGCCTGGCATCCTGTGTTACCTGGGGAGCAGAAGCTTTTTATAGGCTTTGGTCTCCCAAAAATAGCTTCACAACAGATTTGGTGATGTAAATTTTTAATGACGATCCAGGCTGGAGCTGGAAGTGAGATAAACAATATCTATGATAGAAAAACTTGTCTATCTGGCAAAAACAATTGTTGCGATTCACACAACTGTTTCACTGAAAAGGACTTTGTTTCGTTAACATGTTGATCAACTGAAGGTAAAGAGCCTAGAATGGGTCATCGCTTTGAGTTAAAGGATAATGGAGTCTCCACTAAGGCAGGAAGATCCTTGGAGCCATTCAGTTTGTTTTCCCTTCAATGACCCAAAATATGTTGGTTAGATACGCTGGAGACTCCAAATTCTGTTTTAGATACTTGGGTAACACTTTATTTGAAGGGGGTTGAATAAGACTGTCATGACACTGTCATAAACATGACATAACACCTGTCATGAACATGAATAAGCCTTCATGAATATTTATGACTGTTATCATAAAGTGTCATTCGGTAAATTATGACACTTTTAATACAAAGTTGACATTATTCAAAATGTCTTTGCTATGACAACTTGACATTAACCAAGAAATCATTACTGATATAAATTTGGTATTACTGATTGCACTTTAAAAATTAGGTAACTTTATGTTATTAAAGATAAAGTTTAAACAGTAATGATTTCTTGGTTCATGTCAAGTTGTCATAACAAAGACATTTTAAATAATGTCAACTTTGTATTAAATGTGTCATAATTTACCGAATGACACTTTATGACAACAGTCATAAATATTCATGAAGGCTTATTCATGTTCATGACAGGTGTTATGTCATGTTTATGACAGTGTCATGACAGTCTTATTCACCCCCCCTTCAAATAAAGTGCTACCGATACTTGATACAATTTCCAATATTGTGGCAAGATTATTTGAAGGCACTGGTTTCATACAAGTTCAAAAAAAAAATAAAATAAAATAAAAAAAAAATATATGTGGAGCTCTACCCAGCCCACTTTTTTATTTTCTAATGTAAAAGTGACTCAAGACAACACTTGGTATAAATGTTAACATCCTTTCTGGGAGCATGGACCTTTGATTGAGTGTTACAATTATTTCATCTTATTACAATTGCTTATCTCAGTGGGCCACTGTGTGCTTCCATTTGCCTATCAATTTACTGTTGATACAAATCAGTGTTATCACTGAGGAAAAAATAAAAAAAATCATTCTAGAGTAAAATAATGTGTTTCAAAATAAACATGGGTCTGGCACTTGAGTGTATTTTTACACTGCAAACAATGATCTGACCATCTTTATTTTCTTTTTCTTGTAGCCTGTTGATTTTATCAAGATATTGATTATTGTGGGCACATATAAGGTTAGTTGGTCTGGTCTGTCACTGTGTGGCACTACAATAGTCTGTATATTCTGGGGTACTAATCTTCCTTGTTGCTGAGGAATGGAGTTCGGCACTAAGCCCCTTTGACCCTGAAACCTTGAGTAGATATAAGTGACTATAGACAAAAGATGGATAGATGTCTGATGTAGAATCATAGAACCCCCCCAAGATTCCTAAGTGGTATTTACATATCTTACCATTTAAGCTCTGCAGTCTTCTAAGGACACCAGCAGAGCCTTCATCAGGCTGAGTCAACTCAAACTCAGCACAGATTATAGCGTTGTTTTCAAAGTCAGTCTATGTCACTGTCCAGTTAAGGCCTGTTTTTTAAAAAAAGAAAATGTGTATGGACCCAGATGCTTAGGGTGCATTCACACCAGCCAGTCCACTTTATTCAAACTCTAGTTTGTTTGTCTAGAAAGTTTGGTTTGGTTGCTGAGGTGTGAAAGCACAGTCAAACTATGTATAATGTGGACCAAAAACGCAAACCTCGGTCTCGGTTCGATTAAAGTAAACTCTGGTGCGGTTCGAATGCATTTGTGAACCAGACACCGCTCCACAAGCTGTGAGTGAACTACAATACAGGGCATTCTGGGTAAATACAACCAAAACAAACTTGTGAGTCTAGCACTACAGGGAATCGATGGCTCATGGTCTTTTATCAGAGACAAAAGAGGAATCTACTGCCGCTGTAATCTGATGCTACTCCATTTTTGTTTACATTTTGTGAAGAATGAAATTGTGCTCAGCGTCTTCTTTGGAAGTTCTTGGTGTAGTGTCACCACAGGCAACAGGGTGAACAGGTCTTTCAATTAGTTTGGATCGTTTGACACAGTGCAGTGTGAAAGTGAACCGCACCAGCTGAAAATGTAACACATGTTGCAATTTTGGACCCAAATCGAACTGAGACATTTAGGATACCGTACTTAAGGACACTAAGGGTGTTTTAACAGTAGTCTGGTAGACTTCTGAACTATCTTAAAAACTTTAAAACACCCTTAGTGTCCTACCCAAAGCATGATTATAGGAGCTCTACCTTGCCACCGTCTATGATAGAGAAAAATGAGAAACTGACATACCAAGCTATCTCAAGTCACACCATAAAGGAGAAGTCTACATTTTTAAATCACAGCCCAAAGTCTAAAGCAGTTAGTTGTCAAGCGGTGTGTCAAGTTCTGTTTTCTCTGAGCTCTGGAGTAAAATGTGCAGCAGTCTGTTTAACAATAGACCAAACTGAATCAGCATTCAGGGCTCTGATTCTAAGGACATCTCACAAAAATATTCCAAAAGCAAAAAAAGAACGGAGTTCTTTGTCAGTGTTTTATTGTTTTTAATTGCTGTTGCTGTAGAGCAATACAACTGAAGGCCTGATTTTGTGAGTCACTGAAAGCACCACTCCATAAGGTTTACATGATGCTCCTGAACTTGTGTAGAATAAGGAGTAATTTCTGAGATGCCTTGATGCACATCCAACAGAACTACTGGTTGTCTTGTTTCTCTTTATCATCTTTTGTTGGAAAACTTAATATTTTATCTAGGGCAGGCAGAATGCTGTAGGTGCAAATGTTTTGTAAAGACAGTGCTTTTAGAAGAACATCATGCTGCAGGAAACAGTGTTCTCAATTTCTTTCATCTTTTGTACCACATGCACAGTAAATGGAAACTGGAAATTGCAATGACATGTTTGTTCTTCGCACAGTACCGTCTTAATCTCTATTTGCGAATGCAGTATCAAACTGTATTTACCGACAGTGGTTCTCAGAGCATTCCTGAACCCACGCAAGGATTTCTACCTTATAATTAGATCTGCTTTTAAACACAGTGCTGCCTGGGGGCTCGATAAGGCCGTTCAGCTGGGTTTTTTTCAGCCTTGTCTTTGGCACACAGAGATGTATCTGGGCTCTTTGAACCTCTTGTACAGTACATGGTGAAAACTTTAAATTCTCTTTGTCCACGTGTTTAAATATTTTTACGTTTCTGACTGTGTGGGGAAATAGATGCCAACTTCTGAAGTTGTGGGCGCTCCATATTTTTAACTCTGATACTCAACCTTTTACAATCCAAATATATACATATACACATACACTTTATATATAGTGCATGAAAGTATTCATATGTCTTTTGTTGGAATTAAACTGAAAAAATATGAAGATATTACACTATTATCTTCATATAATACAATTATATGAAAAATGCTATAATTCATATGATTACAATATATTATATGAATTATAATCATGTAAAGGTAAAGTTAAACTATTAAAAAAGTTGTCTTTAAAAGGTTGAAGTTAACCTTTTTCAAATTAATTGGTGCATTCTAACTGTACTAATTTATTTTGGCAATTTATATATTTTTGCTTTTATGTCTAATTCTGTCACTTTCAGTCCTCCATACACATGTATGTGTTTGCAGTCATTTTTCAGTGTATGAAGTGCAGGTGTAAATGCACCTGATCTGGTAGGCGTGGCCAGCAACAACTTATTTGGATTTAGAGTAACAGGAGACCCTAAAGCAGCTCATTGTTAAAGCAGCTCAAAACAGGCAGAACTGAGCAGGTCAAATATCAATATCCATAAATGATTTTGATGAAAAACAGATTTTGTATAGCCATACATGAATCCTAAGCTGTCCAAGAATACATTCCTTTTTTATTTTTTTAATTGCAAAACATACAAAAAAAATCATCATAATTGGACATTTATGTGTGGAATTCTGAGAAAACAAATTAATTTAATAAAATTCAGAAAAAGTCTTAATGTAACTAATGTGGAAAAAGGGAATGCTGTGAATACTTTGCACTGTATTTTCCTCATTTGTTTAGAAACCTCCCCAGCTCAGCTCAGGGCAAGCTGTTGTCATGGCAACACCTGTCCCCTCAGATTACAGATAATGTCACAGGAACTAATTCAGAAAAAGAGGTTTTAGCTGACTAATGACAGCTGTAACTATTTTTTATTTATTTTTTTATTATTGTTTATTTTTTTACAGGTAAGACCTTTCCTGGAGAATCATTCCAGGAAAAACAATGAACCAATAGACACTCTCCATGAAATCCATGTATAATTTCCAGTCAGATCTGTGAGCATAAGCACTGTGGCATATGGTGACCAGTTTGTGCGGTCAAAACTGTTGACCCATATTTGAATTCATGGCACCTGCACAGATCATTAGAGCATACGAGCTTAAATGAGGAGAAAAACAGCCGAGCATCCCATTCACCCAACATCCGCGACCAAACTTCACAACAAGCAGGTTTGCATTGAAACATTATGCCTGGGTAACTATGCATCTAAGGACTTTACTAAATAGAAATGAGAGAATGCGATGTTAAATGTCAGATGGTTACAAAGATGGAAGCTTACGTTAGTTTTCACAAGTCTTATATAATCCATTTGATTTTCAGATATGCTATAATTAGAGTGATTGCTTTTTATTATTTCAATAAAGGAAAGGAAAAATGGATCCAAGCAGAGGATTTACAGTGGTATTCATAAGAAAACAGAAAAAAAAGAACTTTATGAGGAAAAGAAAATGGCTGCAACTAACATATTGTGTTTATCTGCTCTGGTAGCTCATGTGTCATTCAGGAACTTGCTAATGTCTGGGATGAACAATACATTTTGGGTATGAATGCATAAAACGGATAAATTTCAAAACAATCCCTGTCATTCAATAAATCAGCAGAGTCTGAAGCACTTAATCTCATGCATATTTAATGAGGATATATTAAAAACGTGCTCACTCATATTGGGCACGCTCAGCTGTGTGCTGATGCTATATTTAGAGCCTCCCTCCACTGTTTCTGGCTCGGCACGTGAGGCTTTGGGAATGTCAACAAAAGGCAGCAGATAACAAGATGGAAAATGGGAAATGTCAGAGATGACAGAGCTGCTGTAAGTATCTGGGTGGATTTTTTTTGTAAATATTGTCACCTTGATTAGCGTCAGGCTTAGAGGTGAAATACTGGCCTTTTGCCTGTCAGGCACAGGCACGGTTATTTAGGTTTAACTCTCCTTATCCCCAACCTGTGTGATATGATTTGGAGGAATGCTATTTTTAGGACAGTGTAGTCATGTGTGAAGCCACAAAGATAAAAGAGAAACAGAAAGCAAGAATGCAAAGAAACTAAAGCTAATGATCAGATATCTGCAGATTGGAATGGTATTTGTTTTCTTACAATATATCTTTATGTGAAAAAGTCAACATTTTTGTCTCAGGGAGTGTTGTTAGTATTCATTTTTATATCATCTTTATTTCATTTTCAATAATTAATCTCAAACTGAAAGACAGAGAGTCAGCTGCCTTCTGTCCACATTGTTATTCTATAGTTCTCTATAAGCATGATATTTCTGAAAAATGTACTACTCAGAACAACATGACTGACAGATTTCACAGCTAACTTGTTTCACATGCAGATACACATTTTGTCCATACTCTACCGTGAATTTTTATAGTGCCAGGTTCTCCTGCCCGTCCAGCACTGATCTTCCTGACCTGTCCCACTCCTGGCTTCCTTCTCATCTCATTATCTCCCTCAGTTCTCGCCAGATTGCGCGCTGGTCTTGGCCGTCCATTTTCAGCTTTTGTTGTGCCAGCCAGCTTTGCTTCCTGCTCATGACCTTTTAGCCTGTTGCTGGCTTCTGATCTCTGCCAATGTTATATTGATTGCTTGCCCTTCTGGTTTGATCCTCAGATATTTTTTTTTCTTTCTACAAGGAAAGGATCAAACTGCATTTTATCTCCGTATCTATGTAGGTCAGCCCTTCCTGAGCTTTTGTTTCTGGGAAAAAATGAAAAAAAAATGCTTTTTTCCTCTGATTTTCCACTACAGTCGACAATAAAAGGAAGTACTTTTAAGGTTTACTTAGCCCAAATGGTGCTGCTTCTGTAACAAAAGTAGAGGTTGTAGTTCAGAAAGTTCAAGTCTTAGTGTTTCAGAAGGCAGAAGGCCTCCATTATATTAGCTTGAAATGTGAACATTTTGACATGACATTTACTAAGTGGGGAACTCAAAACTGCCTCAACAACAAAAGGAGTCAATGGAAGACATTTGGGTCTACGATCAGGACACTTTGTGGCTTTGTGTACACCTCCTATTGGAGGATTTTTAGGGACGAGAGGAGAAACCAGTAAAAATCAAGAACTCATTCAATAGACAATATGCCTTCTGCCACAGAGACGCATTGAGGTGTTAGTGGAGGTTGGGATATCTGGCATTTCCTTTCTCAACTTATTTCTGTTACTGGACTTTGAAAAAGTGAAAGGGAATGGATGGATTACTCTGAAGACAAGAGCAGGTTCCTCCACAGGGCAGACATTCCAAACCATCTGAATGAATATTTGTCTGTGCAGAGAGAACACCTGCATAGCATACCATGAATGCTAATGTACAGTAGGATACTTTCTAAAATGTAGCACAAGTACATTGTATGCTGTACCAGTAAGTTGAGAGACTCGTGTTTTATCCAGTATGAGACTGTCCTGCTCACACCATTTGAACTTACAAACAAACCAACAGGACTATGTGACACTGGAGTCAATGACTGACGGTGTCATTGACTTCCACTGTCATTAGCTGAGCTGTAAAAGTACACGTGCAAAGGTGTTCATAGTAACAGGCAATGCATAAACACCACATTATTTACTGCTCTCCTTCACTTTGAACACAGAGTTTCAGTGATACTCATGTGGCCCTCCAGTGTTTGGCTCAAGAAAGTTGGCTCTGTGCTGGATGGAACTTCAGACTCCCTGGAGCAAAAAGCAACAACAAAAAAAGTTGGTAAAGTAGATGGACAAATAACCTTCTGGATGATAAAACAAAGGTTATGGGACTCAGGAAAACTGACAGGTAAACAACGGAAGAACAAAACAGGAAAACAATGAAGAGGAACAACAGAAATAAACTGAGAACAACAGAGAGTTGTGTAAGGGAGGTCGAGGATTCAGTGGAGAACCAGAACCCAGAAGCTTATATACACTGATAGAGAGAAGAGATTGACACAGGAACCAGAGGAACTAATCAGAGGTAAGTTGAGGAAGGGAGAAACTCAGAGAGCTGAGACACAGAGACACTGTGAATGATCAGAAAAAAAAAAAAAAAAACTGACACTAAAATAAACAGTGAACTGAAAGAAACACTAGTCTAACACAATGTGTTAGCACAAGGAATTAGCACATTCCTTGTGCTAATTTATTCTCTACAAGTGAAGAGAATAAATTAGCACAAGGAAAAAATTAAAATGGCAAAATCCAAGCAAATAAACAATAAGGAAATAATTAAGCAGAAACCAAAGTTCTTACAAGATTATACCACTTATAGCAATATATATTGATGCTGCTGATAATATACAGAGGTTAAATCAAAAATAATGCTGATGGTTCAATTAGAGTTTTGGGAAAATGTATTGGCTTGTAGAAAATCAGAATAATATAACTATAGGAAATATAACTAAAAGATAGTAACAATGTTGTAGTAAAAATAAGAAGTACTGAATGATGGCAAAAGAGAAACAGAATTACAATTCATATAACAAACTTAGATTGTTTAATATACTTACCAACCATTTAGTGATAATATGCAGTGAAAAAATATTTCTCTGCAACATTACAGTAACAACAAGGTCCCCTTGTACCAATATTGATTTTTTTTAATGGTATAAGTGTTATGAGGAAGATAAATAAGGAAACCAGAAAGAATTAAGGATTTCTTTTTGAACAATACATTTATCTAAACCCCACATAGTCTCTAACGTGTTTCATTATGACTACTTTGATAAGATATGATTTGATATGATGCGAAATTAAATCAACTGAGCAGTAACGCCATGACTGTTGTGGGAAAAACAGCTCAGGCTGTCAATGGTTCAGTCATCACAGCAACCATCAAACCCCCAAAGAAGTGAAAGCCACAGGGAGCAGTGATCAGACTGACAGAGGGCGAGAAATGATGGAGGGAAACTTAGAAAATGGGGAGATCATAAGAAAAAAAAACTATATTAACGTTTAAAAATATAATTAGCATGTAAAAGAGCAGCTTGTTAAACAATATCCTGAAAACAGACATAGGCGCCGATGGCAGTGACTTACTGACAGAGTTAGAACAGTATTGAAAATCTTTGGAGCTTATTATGCTGTCAGTCACTGCGGGGTTTAGCCTCTAATCCGATCCCAAACAGAACCCTAAATCCAGTCATCTTTATTCCTCTGCTCACTCGCTAATGTATTCCACTAAGGAATGGTGTACATAATGCGGGCATAAATCTTTTGCAATGATCACAGACGTCTGCTTAAGCTCGTTCCTCAGCTGGAGACACATTGTACCCGTCAGTGAGTAATTTGATGGGTGTATGGTGGTGGGAAGGGGGGCGAGGGGGAAATTAACTTTTTCCTCCATGTTCCATTTGTTGAGTGTATGCTTTATCCCCCTGTGTTCCTTCATGGGTGTGTGCCTTCTCTAACATTGGCAGCTCTGGTGTTAGACAAACACCTGACTCAGCACTGCACGGTCTGAAAGGTGACACAGTCATCTGCAGGGATGACACAACGCAACGCTGCACTCCAAAACGCTAAGAACAAGGCTGGACAGAAGAAATGGAATGTCATGGCATTACAGGGTTTCTTATAGCTCAGCAAGTGTCACCTTCATGATATTACTTTTAGTTGTTTTCATGACAACTTTGGATAGTTGGATCAATCTATACATCATCTGTGAAAATCCTAAACAGAAAATCACATTGCTGGTTTTCTGTTTAGGATTAGCACTTAGCAACTACAATAATGGCCAGTTTTATTGTCATCCTTTTATAGACGTCTAAAAAAAAAGACTTAAAACAAACGCATGTATCTATGGGTGAATAATCTACATGTAAAGGTTTCTGCTTGTATAGTGTAGGTTTGAGATTGTGGAGCAGTGGGACTGTTTTGTGTCTTAAGGAGTTCTTTGAGGAAGGCGGGGTGGCGGGGCATCGCCATAGATGCAGTGATGTGAAAATCTTATGCTCACTCCTGGTGGCGACAGGAAGCCAGTAATGTGCTCATCAGAATCCTGGCTGCAACGTTTTGGATATATTGGAGCCTCTGCAGGCTCTTGCAGCCGCCTCTTAAGAATTATTAACCTTAACAATTGTGTTCACAGTGAAAAAGGGACTGTTGGCTGCGTTCGCTTCCTGTCTTCCCATTGTGCTCCGAGATTGGATGTCTGTGTGGGAGGCAGGCGAACAGGGCATAGTTAAAACACAACTCATTAAATCTGGAGAACACATTCTTCTGAGCGCTCTGTCTGCATACAATTAATTGGAACATATCAGAAATGTGTTTTGAGCCCAGCTGACTATGAGTCATATCAAAACGGGGAGTAAACATTAGCCATTGTAAGCCCAACCATTCAACAAATTGTGACATTAATTCATTGTCAACCAAAGTACTTTCTTCATTTGCTTCTCTAAGACAAGGTTATTGCAGACATTTAATCCAATTTCATCCTGTGGTGCTTGCGAGCAAAATGCTTAACCGTGAGATATGTGTGTTGTGATCTTTAACAAATAAGTTTTGAGATCTTTAATGCATCTCTACTGATGAGGTGATTCCAATACAAAATTGAAAACGTCATCCCGCTGAACTGAATTAAACTCTTGCATTACTGCCTGCATCAGCTGTCTGGTCAGCAGAAGTGTTTTATCCTTCACACTGCTTGGTGTCAGGTGTTTGTGTTTTCCTGTCAAGGTCTCGAAGCCCCGTCTATCAGGATGTCTCTATTGTTGTAATGAAACAGTTTTGCAACACGTCCGCATATGTTGTAGTGTTGCTCTTGGCGAGTTTGACGGTCATGAACGTGTCGAGGTGTTAAGTCTTATATTGTCGTACAATTTTTTTCTTTCAGTTTATTCCTGTGGTTTGTGTGTCAGTGTGTCTTGAAGTAGCCAAAGCAATAAATCTCTAAACGGCTGAAAGACAAGCTGTTGACATTGACCTAAGAAGTGACATACACTTTAGTAAAATACTGGACAAAGGTTTCCCTTCTGGAGTTCATTTATAATTTGAAAAACTATAATGGGTCATCACACACAATCGAGGTAGGACAGATAGATGATGGAATACATGGAAGTGGTGTTTGGGATGAATGACCTGTCAAACTAAACCTTATGTGTGAACTAACAGCATGAAGGACTTTCTCTCAGAAATGGCTGATAAAAGCAAAAAGCCTGCTGAGCCTGACTGAAGCTTTAGATGAACTCTACAGAAAGATATTCCTTTTTAAAGAGCCAAATGTTCCAAATTTCTTATTCAATTATCTTTAAAACATGTTCCATCTCATCATTATACTGTCATTATCAGCATGTTTCAGAGATAATGTTGTAAGGGAAATTAGGAAAAACATTTTTTGTGGTAAGACTATTAATAGAGTAAAGAGCAGTTGCAAAGAAACTTAGCAGAAATTGAACGTGTAAATAGATTTAGTTCTGATTTAGAAAATCAGAACTAAATCCATGAAGACGTTTCAAGTAAAGTGGCAGATATATTTCACTGTTTATTCTGAGCTAATACTGACACGCTCAGGAATCTAAGTTTGTGGTTCTCTGAAAAATGTTGTAGTTAGACTTACTGATATTGTTCCAGTACTACAAAGCTTTCTAAATTGGATTTCTGCATCCAATCCAATTAATTTATCTAATGATAGTTATTTATCATTAGATGCAATTTCGTTTTCATATATATTTGTAATTACTGTAGAATAATGTATTTTTTCCTTGAAAATAGCAAAGCTAAAATAGAAGAAGAAGAAGCTGGAGTCAGTGGAAGGAGTGTGTGAGGTCTCTACAACCATGACATTTCTTTGTTTTCAGCTAATGTGATGAAATGGGATACATTTGTTTGAGTAATAAAAGACAGCGTTTCTACAAAGATGACAAATTTACCGACATGGTTGGTGGTTGCTGAAGTACCTCAGGGTTCTACATTAGGTCTATTTTTTTCTTGTATATTAATTACCTTATATTTAAATATTTGCATTAAGATGTAATAAATTCAAACTATTTCTTTTTATAAAACACATTTAAAAAGTTGTGAACAGAATAAACTAACTTGATGTATTTTGGGTACTTGGGGAAAATTAATACCTGGAGCACACAGAATAAAGAGCAACATTAAGATAAACACTTGTCCTTTATCTTCTGGGGAAAATTGTCCCCAGAAAGCCACTTGATTACACAGGATCAGCTGATGTAGTTTGTCTCGTAGTAAACGTAGTCCAGTGTACTTTCCTCAACCTTGGATCTTGTTTCTGTTTTGTTTTTTGCTCAGACATAAAGTCCAGATCCTGCTGCCAAAGGGAGTGAGTAAAGAACAGTGCTCAGCTATGGCTTGTTCCAGAGGTTCTGTATGCACAGCTTGTTTATGCGAAGCACTTCCTGCTGATGCTCAGACCCAGAGAAACTGTTAGATTACAAATCTAGAGCAAACTTAGAAAGTACCATCTAGTTTATAGAATCATTGAGAACCAATGTCTAATTTTAATCAGAATAAGAATCCAGAAAAACCTCTACTAGTTTATTAATTATAGACTACTTATTTTTATTAAACATGGGGAACCAATATGTAGTTTTATACTTTTACCCTTTTATCTTTGCTGTTTTGTTTGTATTTCCTTCTAATTCATGTAAAGCACTTTGAACTGCCTTGTTGCTGAAAATGTGTTATATAAATAAAATGATCTTACCTCAACTAGGATTACTGGTTTTTAAATGCTTTATGTCTGGAGGTGAAGAGGTGAGTTGTTTTATATTCTTGTAGGTTGATTGTAATAATCTTGATTGTGCTAAGAAGTGACACACTGAGTCTGGTGGTGAAAACCTAACAATTAAGTTTATTTATAGAGCACCAACATAATAAACTTGATTATTATGTTTATTAATAATAAACAAAATATTATGTCTATTAATATTATGTTTATTAATATAAACATATTATCTGTTTTGTCGCCTTCAGACGACAAAAAAGTTTAATTCAGTCATACATATATTACAGTTGGTCTTAGTTATCAAACCGTACAGTAAGCTCAGTTAAATATCCAAAGTAGATTAAAAGGTTTCTAGGAAACCCGTCAGATTACAGGAAGAGAAGTCTTACAAGAGCTTTGCCCTGTGCCAACTTCCACAAAAACATCTTCTGATTGTATTGCTTCAATTATTTTGTATTTGGTCGAAACATGATTGTGTATCTGAACATTAGGCTATTTTTTAGAATCTATATCCACTAAAAAGTTTAATCACATCAGTGTTGATGTCTGTTAGTTGCTTTTCTTCATGTGACACGCTGATGTGTTCTGTCAGAGAATCCCATCCGTTGGGTAACAGCACCAGAGTAGGTGACTCGAAGAAACTGAAAAAAAAAAAAAATAGTTGGCTTTGTTTGGATGACTTCTGCTAAACCCCTTGAGGAGGTTGTGGAAAGAATTTTGCACAAGTTGCTCAACAAAGTAAACACTAACCTCCTCATAGCAATCCAATAAAATAACAGAGTGCCTATTTAGAAGCTCCTTCACTGTAGCTGAATTAATGACTGTCTAAAAGAGGTCATTTCTGTTCATGTTGGTGATCTTTGACAATGATTCTTTATGCTAGGAATGAGAAAACCCTTGTGATAAAATGCATATTTCCCTTTTAATTAAACCTTCTACTTATTTTATGATCAGTGGAGTAGTAAATATATTGTTGGCAGCATAAATAAATTTAAATAAATGAGAACAACTGTTTATCCTGCTTGAAGATTAAATTTGGTTTAGTGGTAAAAGGTTAATAAAAAAACAAACTCTCTAATAAACTTATGAGACAACAGTCTTTTCTTTGTTCTACTGCAGAAAACAAACTACCACTGACATATTACAGGGTAGTAAATGCTGCTGTCCAGTTGCTGCTGGATGCTTGAATCTCTTTGGTTTTTCCAGCTAGCCATATGCAACCCAGAGAGGCAACCTGCAAAGATCTTCTCTGAGGAACAGAACATGGCCCAAAAAAAGAGGTACAAAACATAGAAAAATAATCAAAACACAGTCACTTACAGTGATAGCAATGCCCCCCACATGTAACCACTGTCAAAATAACTGAATGCTTTGGTACATTTACAAAGTGATTAAAGTTTATTCAGTAAATCCTACAATGTGTTAGGTTTCTATTTTTTTGAAGAAGCAACAAAATTTCAAACCTTCTTGTAATTTTGTAAATCAATCAATCCATCCATCCATCCATCCATCCATCCATCCATCCATCCATCGTTTTCTGCTTATCTAAGACTGGGTCGCAGAGGGGAACAAGTCAAGGAGGGAAATCCAGACATCCATCTCCTGCCCGACATCTTTCAATTTATTCTGTGGGATCCCAAGGTGTTTTGCAGAGCAGACAGGATTAATTGTTCTTCTAGTTCTGGATCTTTTCTGGGTTCGCTTTTCAGTGAACTGTCTAATGAAAAGCTCCAAACGGAGGTACATCAGCACAGAGACATCTGTCTATATATAAATCTTATGCACGAAGAAGACAATCAAAGGTATTTGCACACATTTAAGCCCGAGGTTAGTTTCTCTGGAGCCTCGGATTGACCCAACATAGGGACTGTGGAAGAAAGTCAGAGCAGCTGAAGCTGAGGAAGAAACACATGTAGAAGAAACACATTAACTCTGCATCCAGGCCCAGGAAAGGGGGCAACACTTCTTCACACCACTGTTAATCCATTGATGAGACCCAG